TCTATAGGGTCTCACTGCCCATGGTAATCTATAGGGGTCTCACTCCCATGGTAATCTATAGGGGTCTCACTCACCATAGTAATCTATAGGGGTTTCACTCCCTATGGTAATCTATAGGGGTCTCACTCCCTATGGTAATCTATAGGGGTCTCACTCCCTATGGTAATCTATAGGGGTCTCACTCCCTATGGTAATCTATAGGGGTCTCACTCCCTATGGTAATCTATAGGGGTCTCACTCCCCATGGTAATCTATAGGGGTCTCACTCCCTATGGTAATCTATAGGGGTCTCACTCACCATGGTAATCTATAGGGGTCTCACTGCCCATGGTAATCTATAGGGGTCTCACTCTTTATGGTAATCTATAGGGGTCTCACTCCCATGGTAATCTATAGGGGTCTCACTCCCTATGGTAAACTATAGGGGTCTCATTCCCATGGTAATCTATAGGGTCTCACTGCCCATGGTAATCTATAGGGGTCTCACTCCTCATGGTAATCTATAGGGTCCCACTCCTCATGGTAATCTATAGGGGTCTCACTCACCATGGTAATCTATAGGGTTCTAATTCCCCATGGTAATCTATAGGGGTCTCACTCCCTATGGTAAACTATAGGGGTCTCACTGCCCATGGTAATCTATAGGGGTCTCTCTACCAATGGTAAACTATAGGGGTTTCACTCACCATGGTAAACTATAGTGTTCTCACTCACCATGGTAATCTTTAGGGGTCTCACTGCCCATGGTAAACTATAGGGATCTCACTCCCCATGGTAAACTATAGGGTCTCAATGCCCATGGTAATCTATAGGGTCTCACTCACCATGGTAAACTATAGGGGTCTCACTCTTCATGGTAATCTATAGGGGTCTCACTCACCATGGTAAACTATAGGGGTCTCACTCACCATGGTAAACTATAGGGGTCTCACTGCCCATGGTAAACTATAGGGGTCTCACTCACCATGGTAATCTATAGGGGTCTCACTCCCCATGGTAAACTATAGGGGTCTCACTCCCTATGGTAATCTATAGGGGTCTCACTCACCATGGTAAACTATAGGGGTCTCACTCACCATGGTAAACTATAGGGTCTCACTGCCCATGGTAATCTATAGGGGTCTCACTCACCATGGTAATATATAGGGTCTCACTCACCATGGTAAACTATAGGGGTCTCACTCTTCATGGTAATCTATAGGGGTCTAACTCACCATGGTAAACTATAGGGGTCTCACTGTCCATGGTAAACTATAGGGGTCTCACTCCCCATGGTAAACTATAGGGGTCTCACTCACCATGGTAATCTATAGGGGTCTCACTGCCCATGGTAATCTATAGGGGTCTCACTCTTTATGGTAATCTATAGGGTCTCACTGCCCATGGTAATCTATAGGGGTCTCACTCCTCATGGTAATCTATAGGGTCCCACTCCTCATGGTAATCTATAGGGGTCTCACTCACCATGGTAATCTATAGGGTTCTAATTCCCCATGGTAATCTATAGGGGTCTCACTCCCTATGGTAAACTATAGGGGTCTCACTGCCCATGGTAATCTATAGGGGTCTCTCTACCAATGGTAAACTATAGGGGTTTCACTCACCATGGTAAACTATAGTGTTCTCACTCACCATGGTAATCTTTAGGGGTCTCACTGCCCATGGTAAACTATAGGGATCTCACTCCCCATGGTAAACTATAGGGTCTCAATGCCCATGGTAATCTATAGGGTCTCACTCACCATGGTAAACTATAGGGGTCTCACTCTTCATGGTAATCTATAGGGGTCTCACTCACCATGGTAAACTATAGGGGTCTCACTCACCATGGTAAACTATAGGGGTCTCACTGCCCATGGTAAACTATAGGGGTCTCACTCACCATGGTAATCTATAGGGGTCTCACTCCCCATGGTAAACTATAGGGGTCTCACTCCCTATGGTAATCTATAGGGGTCTCACTCACCATGGTAAACTATAGGGGTCTCACTCACCATGGTAAACTATAGGGTCTCACTGCCCATGGTAATCTATAGGGGTCTCACTCACCATGGTAATATATAGGGTCTCACTCACCATGGTAAACTATAGGGGTCTCACTCTTCATGGTAATCTATAGGGGTCTAACTCACCATGGTAAACTATAGGGGTCTCACTGTCCATGGTAAACTATAGGGGTCTCACTCCCCATGGTAAACTATAGGGGTCTCACTCCCTATGGTAATCTATAGGAGTCTCACTCACCATGGTAAACTATAGGGTCTCACTCACCATGGTAATCTATAGGGGTCTCACTCACCATGGTAAACTATAGGGGTCTCACTCACCATGGTAAACTATAGGGGTCTCACTCACCATGGTAAACTATAGGGTCTCACTCACCATGGTAAACTATAGGGGTCTCACTCACCATGGTAATCTATAGGGGCCTCACTCCCTATGGTAAACTATAGGGGTCTCACTCACCATGGTAATCTATAGGGGTCTCACTCCCCATGGTAAACTATAGGGGTCTCACTCCCTATGGTAATCTATAGGGGTCTCACTGCCCATGGTAAACTATAGGGATCTCACTCACCATGGTAAACTATAGGGTCTCACTGCCCATGGTAAACTATAGGGGTCTCACTCCCCATGGTAATCTATAGGGGTCTCACTGCCCATGGTAAACTATAGGGGTCTCACTCTTCATGGTAATCTATAGGGGTCTCACTGCCCATGGTAATCCTTAGGGGTCTCACTACCCATGGTAATCTATAGGGGTCTCACTCTTCATGGTAATCTATAGGGGTCTCACTGCCCATGGTAATCTATAGGGGTCACACTACCCATGGTAATCTATAGGGTCTCACTCCCTATGGTAAACTATAGGGGTCTCACTCCCCATGGTAAACTATAGGGGTCTCACTCCTCATGGTAAACTATAGGGGTCTCACTCCCTATGGTAATCTATAGGGTCTCACTGCCCATTGTAATCTATAGGGGTCTCACTGCCCATGGTAATCTATAGGAGTCTCACTCCCTATGGTAATCTATAGGGGTCTCACTCCCTATGGTAAACTATAGGGGTCTCACTCCCTATGGTAATCTATAGGGGTCTCACTCCCCATGGTAATCTATAGGGGTCTCACTCCCTATGGTAAACTATAGGGGTCTCACTCACCATGGTAAACTATAGGGCTCTCACTCACCATGGTAATCTATAGGGGTCTCACTCCGCATGGTAAACTATAGGGGTCTCACTCCCATGGTAATCTATAGGGGTCTCACTCTTCATGGTAAACTATAGGGGTCTCACTGCCCATGGTAAACTATAGGGGTCTCACTCACTATGGTAATCTATAGGGGTCTCACTCACCATGGTAATCTATAGGGGTCTCACTCACCATGGTAAACTATAGGGTCTCACTCACCATGGTAAACTATAGGGGTCTCACTCACTATGGTAATCTATAGGGGTCTCACTGCCCATGGTAATCTATAGGGGTCTCACTCCCTATGGTAATCTATAGGGGTCTCACTGCCCATGGTAATCTATAGGGGTCTCACTCCCATGGTAAACTATAGGGTCTCACTCCCCATGGTAATCTATAGGGGTCTCACTTCCCATGGTAAACTATAGGGGTCTCACTGCCCATGGTAAACTATAGGGGTCTCACTCCGCATGGTAAACTATAGGGGTCTCACTGCCCATGGTAAACTATAGGGGTCTCACTCTTTATGGTAATCTATAGGGGTCTCACTCCCATGGTAATCTATAGGGGTCCCATGGTAATCTATAGGGGTCTCACTGCCCATGGTAAACTATAGGGGTCTCACTCACCATGGTAATCTATAGGGTCTCACTACCTATGGTAATCTATAGGGTCTCACTGCCCATGGTAAACTATAGGGGTCTCACACCCCATGGTAAACTATAGGGGTCTCACTCTTCATGGTAATCTATAGGGGTCTCACTGCCCATGGTAAACTATAGGGGTCTCACTACCCATGGTAATCTATAGGGGTCTCACTCTTCATGGTAAACTATAGCGGTCTCACTGCCCATGGTAATCTATAGGGTCTCACTCACCATGGTAAACTATAGGGGTCTCACTCACCATGGTAAACTATAGGGGTCCCACTGCCCATGGTAATCTATAGGGGTCTCACTCCTCATGGTATTCTATAGGGGTCTCACTCCCTATGGTAAACTATAGGGGTCTCACTCTTCATGGTAAACTATAGGGGTCTCACTCACCATGGTAAACTATAGGGGTCTCACTCTTCATGGTAAACTATAGGGGTCTCACTGCCCATGGTAATCTATAGGGGTCTCACTTCCCATGGTAATCTATAGGGTCTCACTGCCCATGGTAATCTATAGGGGTCTCACTCCCTATGGTAATCTATAGGGGTCTCACTGCCCATGGTAATCTATAGGGGTCTCACTCCCTATGGTAAACTATAGGGGTCTTACTCCCCATGGTAATTTATAGGGGTCTCACTCACCATGGTAATCTATAGGGGTCTTACTCCCTATGGTAAACTATAGGGGTCTTACTCCCCATGGTAATCTATAGGGGTCCCACTCCCTATGGTAAACTATAGGGGTCTCACTCACCATGGTAAACTATAGGGGTCTCACTCCCCATGGTAATCTATAGGGGTCCCATGGTAATCTATAGGGGTCTCACTCCCCATAGTAAACTATAGGGGTCTCACTGCCCATGGTAAACTATAGGGGTCCCACTCTTCATGGTAATCTATAGGGGTCTCACTGCCCATGGTAAACTATAGGGGTCCGATTCCCTATCGGTCACCACCCCACTTGCCCCGGCCTCTTTACCGCCCCGCCCCCTTCCCGTAGCGCTCCGCCCACTCCCGCATCGCCCCGCCCCTTCCCGCCGCGCCCCGCTCCCTCCCGCCGCGCCACGCCCCCCCCTACCCGCCCTTTCACCACGCCCCCCTACCCCGTGCCTCCTACCACGCCCACTCTCCCCAGCCCCGCCCTCCTGCCCCGCCCCCCTACCCCCCACACCAGCATCCGGTTCCGGTTAGAAGTCTGCGCGCGCGTGCGCGCTCACTGTCCCCCCCCAACATGGCGGCTGTCTCTCTTGCCTCGTCCACCACCTCCACCACAACAACAACAACAACCTCAACAACAACCTCCTCATCATCGTCCACCTCGTCAACATCGTCCACCACATCATCATCGTCGTCGTCTACGGCGGCGGCTGCGGGAGCTGCGGATATGGCGGCTGTGGCGGGAGACTCCGCGTCTCCTGCTGGGCCTACGAGTGGTGGTGGAGGTGGTGGAGGTGGAGGTGGTGGTGGAGGAGGAGAGGTGGAGACTAGGGTGGACGTCGGAGGAGTCTATCTGTGTCGGAGGGCTGACGGGGCCTGGCGTGAGTACTCGCGGTGCCGTGGAGGTGGTGGTGGAGGTGGTGGTGGTGGTGGTTGAGGTGATGGTGGTAGAGGTGGTGGTGGTTGAGGTGGTGGTGGTTGAGGTGATGCTGGTGGTGGTAGAGGTGGTGGTGGTGGTTGAGGTGATGGTGGTAGAGGTGGTGGTGGTGGTTGAGGTGATGGTGGTGGTAGAGGTGGTGGTGGTAGAGGTGGTGGTGGTGGTAGTGGTTGAGGTGGTGGTGGTAGTGGTGGTAGTGGTAGAGGTGGTGGTGGTAGTGGTAGAGGTGGTGGTGGTAGTGGTTGAGGTGATGGTGGTGGTAGAGGTGATGGTGGTAGAGGTGGTGGTAGTGGTTGAGGTGGTGGTGGTGGTGGTAGAGGTGGTGGTGGTAGAGGTGGTGGTGGTAGTGGTTGAGGTGGTGGTGGTGGTGGTAGAGGTGGTGGTGGTAGAGGTGGTGGTGGTAGTGGTTGAGGTGGTGGTGGTGGTGGTAGAGGTGGTGGTGGTAGAGGTGGTGGTGGTAGTGGTTGAGGTGGTGGTGGTTGAGGTAATTTTGGTGGTGGTGGTGGTGGTGGAGATGGTGGTGGTGGTAGAGCTGATGGTGGTGATGGGTGAGGTGGTGGTGGAGGTAATGGTGGTGATGGTTGAGGTGGTGGTAGCGGTGGTTGTGGAGATGGTGGAGATGATAGTGGTGGTGATGATGGTGGTGTTGGTTGAGGAGGTGGTAGTGGTGGTAGTGGTGATGGTAGTGATGGTCTTGATGGTTGTGGTAGTGGTGATAGTGGTGGTGGAGATGGTAGTGTTGGTGGTGGTAGTGGCGGTGGTTGAGGTGGTGGCGGTGGTGGTCGAGGTGGTGGTGGTGGTAGTGGTGGTGGAAGAGGAGGTGGTGTAGACCAGGCGAGGTAGTCAACATCTCACAACCCACGACCTCCTGTATACCAGGCGAGGTAGTCAACATCTCACCACGGGGAGAGAGAGAGACACAGACTCCAAATATACAGCAGGACCCACGACCTCCTGTATACCAGGCGAGGTAGTCAACATCTCACCACGGGGAGAGAGACTCAGACTCCAAATATACAGTGAGGAAAAAAGCATTTGATCCCCTGCTGATTTTGTACGTTTGCCCACTGACAAATAAATGATCAGTCTATAATTTCAATGGTAGGTTTATTTGAACAGTTAGAGACAGAATAACAACAACAAAATCCAGAAAAACGCATGTCAAAAATGTTATAAATTGATTTGCATTTTAATGAGAGAAATAAGTATTTGATCCCTCTGCAAAACATGACTTAGTACTTGGTGGCAAAACCCTTGTTGGCAATCACAGAGGTCAGACGTTTCTTGTAGTTGGCCACCAGGTTTGCACACATCTCAGGAGGGATTTTGTCCCACTCCTCTTTGCAGATCTTCTCCAAGTAATTAAGGTTTCGAGGCTGACGTTTGGCAACTCGAAACCTTCACCTTCCTCCACAGATTTTCTATGGGATTAAGGTCTGGAGACTGGCTAGGCCACTCCAGGACCTTAATGTGCTTCTTCTTGAGCCACGCCTTTGTTGCCTTGGCCGTGTGTTTTGGGTCATTGTCATGCTGGAATACCCATCCAGGACCCACGACCTCCTGTATACCTGGCGAGGTAGTCAACATCTCACCACGGTGAGAGAGAGACGCAGACTCCAAATATACAGCAGGACCCACGACCTCCTGTAGATCAGGCGAGGTAGTCAACATCTAACCACGGGGAGAGAGAGACACAGACTCCAAATATACAGCAGGACCCACGACCTCCTGTAGACCAGGCGAGGTAGTCAACATCTCACCACGGGGAGAGAGAGACGCAGACTCCAAATATACAGCAGGACCCACGACCTCCTGTATACCAGGCGAGGTAGTCAACATCTCACCACGGTGAGAGAGAGAGACGCAGACTCCAAATATACAGCAGCAGAAGGCATCATCAGGGTCGGGATCGAATGATATCAGCCACGTGGTAGAGCTGCTATCAACTTGGTGATGGCCAGGTAGCTTCTGACAAAATAGCTACATGTAGGCTCAGTGGGGCCTTTACACTCCGGTACAATAAACAAAGTTGAGTTTTAGTGTGGGTCTCTGTGGGTCTGTATGCGTCTGAGATCGTACCGTGCTACCCTGGGTGATAACAGCTCACACACGTGTGTCTGCATGTTTTTGTGTGTCCCTGTCTCCCCGTGTCTCCCCGCGTGTCTCCCCGTGTCTCTCTGTCTCTCCGTGTGTCCCACCGCGTGTCTCCAGACTCGGCGGAGGTGATCCAGAAGCGAGTGAATGAGCAGGAGGAGAGGGACGAGTTTTACGTCCACTACGTGGGATGTGAGTCCATCGCTCGCATGCTCACTCACTCGTTCACTTACCCACTCACTCACTCACCCACCAACTCACTCACCCACCCACTCACTCACCCACCCACTCACTCACCCACCCACCCACTCACTCAACCACCCATTCACTCACCCACCTGCTCACTCATTCGTTCACTCACTCACCCACCCACCCACTCACCCACTCACCCACCCACTCACTCACCCACTCACCCACCCACTCACCCACTCACTCACTCACCCACTCACCCACCCACTCACCCACCCACTCACTCACCCACTCACTCACCCACCCACCCACTCACACACCCACCCACCCACTCACCCACCAACTCACCCACTCACCCACTCACCCACCCACCCACTCACCTACCCACCCACTCACTCACCCACCCACCCACTCACCCACCCACTCACTCACCCACGCACTCACCCACTCACCCACCCACCCACTCACTCACCCACTCACTCACCCACTCACTCACCCCCTCTCCCACCCACTCACCCACCCACTCACCCACCCACCCACTCACCCACCCACTCACTCACCCACCCACTCACCCACTCACTCACCCACCCATTCACTCACTCACTCACCCACCCACCCACTCACTCACCCACTCACCCACTCACTCACCCACCCACTCACTCACCCACCCACCCACTCACCCCGTAGTCAACCGCCGTCTGGACGAGTGGGTGGGCAAGGACCGTCTGGCGCTCACCCAGACGCTGAAGGAGGCCGCGCAGCAGAAGAGCGGCGCCGGTGGTGCCGGTGGTGCCGGTGGTGCCGGTGGTGCCGGCGGTGCCGGCGGTGCCGGTGGTGCCGGTGGTGCCGGTGGCGAGCGCCAGCCGGGGGAGCGCTCCGAGCCGGCGGGAGAGCGGAAGATCACCCGCAACCAGAAGCGCAAGCACGACGAGATCAACCACGTGCAGAAGGTGGGCGCGGGGGAGAGGGGGAGAGGGCAGCTGGCTCAGCTCGGTCGCTCGCTCAGCCGCTAGCTCAGTCACTCAGCCGCTGACTCACTCACTCAGCCGCTCACTCAGCCACTCACTGGCTCAGCCACCCACTCAGCCACTCGCCCAGCCGCTCACTCAGCCGCTCACTCAGCCGCTCACTCAGCCGCTCGCTCGCTCACTCAGCTGCTCACTCAGCCGCTCACTCAGCCGCCCGCTCGCTCACTCAGCTGCTCACTCAGCCACTCACTGGCTCAGCCGCTCAGTCGCTCGCTCACTCGCTCAGCCACTCGCCCAGCCGCTCGCTCACCCACTTGCTCAGCCACTTGCTTGGCCACTCGCTCACCCACTTGCTCGCCCTCTCGCTCACTCAGCCACTCGCTCAGCCACTCATTCAGCCGCTCACTCGCTCGCTCACTCGCTCAGCCACTCGCCCAGCCGCTCGCTCACCCACTCGCTCAGCCACTCGCTCGTTCAGCCGCTCGCCCTCTCGCTCGGCCGCTCGCTGGCTCAGCCTCTCGCTAATCCGCTCGCTCACTAGCTCAGCCACTCGCCCAGCCGCTCGCTCACCCACTCGCTTGCTCGGCCGCTCGCTCAGCCACTCGCTCACTCGCTCGGCCGCTCACTGGCGCAGCCACTCATTCAGCCGTTCACTCGCCGACTCGCTCGCTCGGCCCCCTTCGTTCGCTCAGCCGCCCGCTCGCTCACTTAGCTGCTCGCTCACGCGCTCACTCGCTCAACCACTCACTCATCCGCTCGCTCGCTCACCCGCTTGTTCGCGAGTGATGATGATGGTGGTGGTGGAGGCAGTGATGGCGATGATGGTTGGTGGTGGAGGCAGTGATGGTGATGATGGTGGTTGGTGGTGGAGACAGTGATGGTGATGATGGTGGTTGGTGGTGGTGGAGACAGTGATGGTGATGATGGTGGTTGGTGGTGGAGATGGTGATGGTGGTGGTTGGTGGTGGAGGCAGTGATGGTGATGATGGTGGTTGGTGGTGGAGGCAGTGATGGTGATGATGGTGGTTGGTGGTGGAGACAGTGATGGTGATGATGGTGGTTGGTGGTGGAGGCGGTGATGGTGATGATGGTGGTTGGTGGTGGAGGCAGTGATGGCGATGATGATGGTGGTTGGTGGTGGAGGCAGTGATGGTGATGATGGTGGTTGGTGGTGGAGGCAGTGATGGTGATGATGGTGGTTGGTGGTGGTGGAGGCAGTGATGGTGATGATGGTGGTTGGTGGTGGAGACAGTGATGGTGATGATGGTGGTTGGTGGTGGTGGCAGTGATGGTGATGATGATGGTGGTTGGTGGTGGAGACAGTGATGGTGATGATGGTGGTTGGTGGTGGTGGAGGCAGTGATGGTGATGATGGTGGTTGGTGGTGGAGACAGTGATGGTGATGATGGTTGGTGGTGGTGGAGGCAGTGATGGTGATGATGGTGGTTGGTGGTGGAGGCGGTGATGGTGATGATGGTGGTTGGTGGTGGAGGCGGTGATGGTGATGATGGTGGTGGTTGGTGGAGGCAGTGATGGTGATGATGGTTGGTGGTGGTGGTGGCAGTGATGGTGATGATGGTTGGTGGTGGTGGTGGCAGTGATGGCGATGATGATGGTTGGTGGTGGAGGCGGTGATGGTGATGATGGTGGTTGGTGGTGGAGGCAGTGATGGTGGTGGTTGGTGGTGGAGGCGGTGATGGTGATGATGGTGGTTGGTGGAGGCAGTGATGGTGATGATGGTTGGTGGTGGTGGTGGCAGTGATGGCGATGATGGTGGTTGGTGGTGGAGGCAGTGATGTTGATGATGGTTGGTGGTGGAGGCGGTGATGGTGATGATGGTGGTTGGTGGTGAAGGCAGTGATGGTGATGGTGGTGGTTGGTGGTGGAGGCGGTGATGGCGATGATGGTGGTTGGTGGTGGAGGCAGTGATGGTGATGATGGTGGTTGGTGGAGACAGTGATGGTGATGATGGTGGTTGGTGGTGGAGGCGGTGATGGTGATGATGGTGGTTGGTGGTGGAGGCAGTGATGGTGATGATGGTGGTTGGTGGTGGAGGCAGTGATGGTGATGATGGTGGTTGGTGGTGGAGGCAGTGATGGCGATGATGGTGGTTGGTGGTGGAGGCAGTGATGGCGATGATGGTGGTTGGTGGTGGTGGAGGCAGTGATGGTGATGATGGTGGTTGGTGGTGGAGGCGGTGATGGTGATGATGGTGGTTGGTGGAGGCAGTGATGGTGATGATGGTGGTTGGTGGTGGAGGCAGTGATGGTGATGATGGTGGTGGTTGGTGGAGGCAGTGATGGTGATGATGGTGGTTGGTGGTGGTGGTGGCAGTGATGGTGATGATGGTGGTTGGTGGTGGTGGCAGTGATGTTGATGATGGTTGGTGGTGGAGGCAGTGATGGTGATGATGGTTGGTGGTGGAGGCAGTGATGGTGATGATGGTGGTTGGTGGTGGAGGCGGTGATGGTGATGATGGTTGGTGGTGGAGGCGGTGATGGTGGTGATGGTGGTTGGTGGTGGTGGCAGTGATGGCGATGATGGTGGTTGGTGGTGGAGGCGGTGATGGTGATGATGGTGGTTGGTGGTGGAGGCGGTGATGGTGATGATGGTTGGTGGTGGAGGCGGTGATGGTGGTGATGGTGGTGGTGGCAGTGATGGTGATGATGGTGGTGGTGGCAGTGATGATGGTGATGATGGTGGTGGTTGGTGTTGTTGTTTTTCTGTGCGTCCAGACCTACGCCGAGATGGACCCCACGACAGCCGCCTTGGAGAAAGAGCATGAAGCGGTGGGTTCATGATGGACGTGTGGGTGGGTGGGGTTCACGATGGACGTGTGGGTGGCTGGGGTTCACGATGGACGTGTCACTGGGTGGGGTTCACGATGGACGTGTCACTGAGTGGGGTTCACGATGGACGTGTGGGTGGGTGGGGTTCACGATGGACGTGTCACTGAGTGGGGTTCACGATGGACGTGTCACTGAGTGGGGTTCACAATGGACGTGTCTCTGAGTGGGGTTCACGATGGACGTGTGGGTGGGTGGGGTTCACGATGGACGTGTCTCTGGGTGGGGTTCACGATGGACGTGTCACTGAGTGGGGTTCACGATGGACGTGTCTCTGAGTGGGGTTCACGATGGACGTGTCACTGAGTGGGGTTCACGATGGACGTGTCTCTGGGTGGGGTTCACGATGGACGTGTCTCTGAGTGGGGTTCACGATGGACGTGTCTCTGAGTGGGGTTCACGATGGACGTGTCTCTGAGTGGGGTTCACGATGGACGTGTCTCTGGGTGGGGTTCACGATGGACGTGTCACTGAGTGGGGTTCACGATGGACGTGTCTCTGGGTTCACGATGGACGTGTCTCTGAGTGGGGTTCACGATGGACGTGTCACTGAGTGGGGTTCACGATGGACGTGTCTCTGGGTGGGGTTCACGATGGACGTGTCTCTGGGTTCACGATGGACGTGTCTCTGAGTGGGGTTCACGATGGACGTGTCTCTGGGTGGGGTTCACGATGGCCGTCTCTCTGGGTGGGGTTCACGATGGACGTGTCACTGAGTGGGGTTCACGATGGACGTGTCTCTGAGTGGGGTTCACGATGGACGTGTCTCTGGGTGGGGTTCACGATGGACGTGTCTCTGAGTGGGGTTCACGATGGACGTGTCTCTGAGTGGGGTTCACGATGGACGTGTCACTGAGTGGGGTTCACGATGGACGTGTCACTGAGTGGGGTTCACGATGGACGTGTCTCTGGGTGGGGTTCACGATGGCCGTCTCTCTGGGTGGGGTTCACGATGGACGTGTCTCTGGGTGGGGTTCACGATGGACGTGTCTCTGGGTGGGGTTCACGATGGACGTGTGACTGAGTGGGGTTCACGATGGACGTGTCTCTGGGTGGGGTTCACGATGGACGTGTCTCTGGGTGGGGTTCACGATGGACGTGTCTCTGGGTGGGGTTCACGATGGACGTGTCTCTGGCTGGGGTTCACGATGGCCGTGTCTCTGAGTGGGGTTCACGATGGACGTGTCACTGAGTGGGGTTCACGATGGACGTGTCTCTGGGTGGGGTTCACGATGGACGTGTCTCTGGCTGGGGTTCACGATGGCCGTGTCTCTGAGTGGGGTTCACGATGGACGTGTCTCTGGGTACACAATGGCCGTGTCTCTGGGTACACGATGGACGTGTCTCTGGGTGGGGTACACGATGGACGTGTCACTGGCTGGGGTTCACGATGGACGTGTCTCTGGGTGGGGTACACGATGGACGTGTCACTGGCTGGGGTTCACGATGGACGTGTCTCTGGGTGGGGTTCACGATGGACGTGTCTCTGGGTGGGGTTCACGATGGCCGTGTCTCTGGGTGGGGTTCACGATGGACGTGTCACTGAGTGGGGTTCACGATGGACGTGTCACTGAGTGGGGTTCACGATGGACGTGTCTCTGGGTGGGGTTCACAATGGACGTGTCACTGAGTGGGGTTCACGATGGACGTGTCTCTGGGTGAGGTTCACGATGGACGTGTCACTGAGTGGGGTTCACGATGGACGTGTCTCTGGGTGGGGTTCACGATGGACGTGTCACTGAGTGGGGTTCACGATGGCCGTGTCTCTAGTTGGGGTTCACGATGGACGTGTCACTGGCTGGGGTTCACGATGGACGTGTCTCTGGGTGGAGTTCACGATGGACGTGTCACTGAGTGGGGTTCACGATGGACGTGTCACTGAGTGGGGTTCACGATGGCCGTGTCTCTAGTTGGGGTTCACGATGGACGTGTCTCTGGGTGGGGTTCACGATGGACGTGTCTCTGGCTGGGGTTCACGATGGACGTGTCACTGAGTGGGGTTCACGATGGACGTGTCTCTGAGTGGGGTTCACGATGGACGTGTCTCTGCGTGGGGTTCACGATGGACGTGTCTCTGGCTGGGGTTCACGATGGACGTGTCACTGAGTGGGGTTCACGATGGACGTGTCTCTGGGTGGGGTTCACGATGGACGTGTCACTGAGTGGGGTTCACGATGGACGTGTCTCTGGGTGGGGTTCACGATGGACGTGTGGGTGGGTGGGGTTCACGATGGACGTGTCACTGAGTGGGGTTCACGATGGACGTGTCTCTGAGTGGGGTTCACGATGGACGTGTCTCTGAGTGGGGTTCACGATGGACGTGTCTCTGAGTGGGGTTCACGATGGACGTGTCTCTGGGTGGGGTTCACGATGGACGTGTCACTGAGTGGGGTTCACGATGGACGTGTCACTGAGTGGGGTTCACGATGGACGTGTCTCTGAGTGGGGTTCACGATGGACGTGTCTCTGGGTGGGGTTCACGATGGACGTGTCACTGAGTGGGGTTCACGATGGACGTGTCTCTGAGTGGGGTTCACGATGGACGTGTCTCTGAGTGGGGTTCACGATGGACGTGTCACTGAGTGGGGTTCACGATGGACGTGTGGGTGGGTGGGGTTCACGATGGACGTGTCACTGAGTGGGGTTCACGATGGACGTGTGGGTGGGTGGGGTTCACGATGGACGTGTCACTGAGTGGGGTTCACGATGGCCGTGTCTCTGAGTGGGGTTCACGATGGACGTGTGGGTGGGTGGAGTTCACGATGGACGTGTCTCTGGCTGGGGTTCACGATGGACGTGTCTCTGAGTGGGGTTCACGATGGACGTGTCTCTGGGTGGGGTTCACGATGGACGTGTCACTGAGTGGGGTTCACGATGGACGTGTCTCTGAGTGGGGTTCACGATGGACGTGTCTCTGAGTGGGGTTCACGATGTCCGTGTCTCTGAGTGGGGTTCACGATGTCCGTGTCACTGAGTGGGGTTCACGATGTCCGTGTCTCTCTGCGGGGTTCACGATGTCCGTGTCTCTGAGTGGGGTTCACGATGTCCGTGTCACTGAGTGGGGTTCACGATGGACGTGTCACTGAGTGGGGTTCACGATGGACGTGTCTCTGGGTGGGGTTCACGATGGACGTGTCTCTGAGTGGGGTTCACGATGGACGTGTCTCTGGGTGGGGTTCACGATGGACGTGTCTCTGGGTGGGGTTCACGATGGACGTGTCACTGAGTGGGGTTCACGATGTCCGTGTCACTGGGTGGGGTTCACGATGGACGTGTCACTGGGTGGGGTTCACGATGGACGTGTCTCTGGGTGGGGTTCACGGTGGACGTGTCACTGAGTGGGGTTCACGATGGACGTGTCTCTGGGTGGGGTTCACGGTGGACGTGTCACTGAGTGGGGTTCACGATGGACGTGTCTCTGTGTGGGGTTCACGATGGACGTGTCACTGAGTGGGGTTCACGATGGACGTGTCTCTGGGTGGGGTTCACGATGGACGTGTCACTGAGTGGGGTTCACGATGTCCGTGTCACTGGGTGGGGTTCACGATGGACGTGTCACTGGGTGGGGTTCACGATGGACGTGTCTCTGAGTGGGGTTCACGATGGACGTGTCTCTGAGTGGGGTTCACGATGGACGTGTCTCTGAGTGGGGTTCACGATGGTCGTGTCTCTAGTTGGGGTTCACGATGGACGTGTCTCTGAGTGGGGTTCACGATGGACGTGTCACTGAGTGGGGTTCACGATGGACGTGTCTCTTGAGTGGGGTTCACGATGGCCGTGTCACTGAGTGGGGTTCACGATGGACGTGTCTCTGGGTGGGGTTCACGATGGACGTGTCTCTGAGTGGGGTTCACGATGGCCGTGTCACTGAGTGGGGTTCACGATGGACGTGTGGGTGGGTGGGGTTCACGATGGACGTGTCACTGAGTGGGGTTCACGATGGACGTGTCTCTGGGTGGGGTTCACGTTGGCCGTGTCTCTAGTTGGGGTTCACGATGGACGTGTCTCTGGGTGGGGTTCACGATGGACGTGTCTCTGGGTGGGGTTCATGATGGACGTGTCTCTGGGTGGGGTTCATGATGGACGTGTCTCTGAGTGGGGTTCACGATGGACGTGTCTCTGAGTGGGGTTCATGATGGACGTGTCTCTGAGTGGGGTTCACGATGGACGTGTCTCTGGGTGGAGTTCACGATGGACGTGTCTCTGGGTGGAGTTCACGATGGACGTGTCTCTGGGTGGAGTTCACGATGGACGTGTCACTGAGTGGGGTTCACGATGGACGTGTCTCTGGGTGGAGTTCACGATGGACGTGTCTCTGGGTGGGGTTCACGATGGACGTGTCTCTGGGTGGAGTTCACGATGGACGTGTCTCTGAGTGGGGTTCATGATGGACGTGTCTCTGGGTGGAGTTCACGATGGACGTGTCTCTGGGTGGAGTTCACGATGGACGTGTCTCTGAGTGGGGTTCACGATGGACGTGTCTCTGGGTGGAGTTCACGATGGACGTGTCTCTGGGTGGAGTTCACGATGGACGTGTCTCTGGGTGGAGTTCACGATGGACGTGTCTCTGGGTGGAGTTCACGATGGACGTGTCTCTGGGTGGAGTTCACGATGGACGTGTCACTGGCTGGGGTTCACGATGGACGTGTCTCTGGGTGGGGTTCACGATGGACGTGTCTCTGGGTGGGGTTCACGGTGGACGTGTCACTGAGTGGGGTTCACGATGGACGTGTCTCTGGGTTCGCGATGGACGTGTCTCTGGGTACACGATGGACGTGTCACTGGGTGGGGTTCACGATGGACGTGTCTCTGGGTGGGGTTCACGATGGACGTGTCACTGAGTGGGGTTCACGATGGACGTGTCTCTGGCTGGGGTTCACGATGGACGTGTCTCTGGGTGGGGTTCACGATGGACGTGTCTCTGGGTGGGGTTCACGATGGACGTGTCACTGAGTGGGGTTCACGATGGACGTGTCTCTAGTTGGGGTTCACGATGGACGTGTCTCTGGGTGGGGTTCACGATGGACGTGTCACTGAGTGGGGTTCACGATGGACGTGTCTCTGGCTGGGGTTCACGATGGACGTGTCTCTGGGTGGGGTTCACGATGGACGTGTCTCTGGCTGGGGTTCACGATGGACGTGTCACTGAGTGGGGTTCACGATGGACGTGTCTCTGGGTGGGGTTCACGATGGACGTGTCTCTGGGTGGGGTTCACAATGGCCGTGTCTCTGGGTACACAATGGCCGTGTCTCTGGGTACACGATGGACGTGTCTCTGGGTACACGATGGACGTGTCACTGGCTGAGGTTCACGATGGACGTGTCACTGAGTGGGGTTCACGATGGACGTGTCACTGAGTGGGGTTCACGATGTCCGTGTCTCTGGGTTCGCGATGGCCGTGTGTGTCCCCCTGTCCGTGTGGCTCACCCCTCACCACCCACACCCCACACATTCGCGCGTAGATCACCAAGGTGAAGTACGTGGACAAGATCCAGGTTGGCCGCTACGAGATAGACGCGTGGTATTTCTCTCCGTTTCCCGACGAGTACGGGAAACAGCCGCGTCTGTGGGTGTGCGAGTTCTGCCTCAAGTACATGAAGCTGGAGACCAGCTACCGCATGCACCTGGTGAGTAGGGGGTGAGTGGGGGTGAGGGGGGTGAGGGGGGTGAGGGTGAGGGGGAGGGAGGTGGTGAGTGTGGTTTGTCTGGTGATGGAGTAGGAGGGAGGATGGGATGGAGGGTTCAATCAGTACACACCCATTACTCACCCCATTACTCACCCACTACTCACCCACCACTACTCACCCCACTACTCACCCCACCACTCACCCAACTAGTCACCCACTACTCACCCCACTACTCACCCCACTACTCACCCACTACTCACCCAATACTCACCCCACTACTCACTCCACTACTCACCCACTACTCACCCCACCACTCACCCACCACTCACCCACCACTCACCCCACTACTCACCCACCACTCACCCCACTACTCACCCACCACTCACCCCACTACTCACCCCACTACTCACCCCACCACTCACCCCACCACTCACCCACCACTCACCCACCACTCACCCCACTACTCACCCACCACTCACCCCACTACTCACCCACCACTCACCCACTACTCACCCACTACTCACCCCACTACTCACCCCACCACTCACCCCACTACTCACCCACCACTCACCCCACTACTCACCCCACCACTCACCCACCACTCACCCACCACTCACCCCACTACTCACCCACCACTCACCCACTACTCACCCCACCACTCACCCCACTACTCACCCACTACTCACCCCACTACTAACCCCACCACTCACCCACTACTCACCCACCACTCACCCCACCACTCACCCACTACTCACCCACTACTCACCCACTACTCACCCCACTACTCACCCCACCACTCACCCACCACTCACCCCACTACTCACCCACCACTCACCCACTACTCACCCACTACTCACCCCACTACTCACCCCACCACTCACCCACTACTCACCCCACTACTCACCCCACTACTCACCCACCACTCACCCCACCACTCACCCCACCACTCACCCACCACTCACTCACCACTCACCCACCACTCACCCCACTACTCACCCCTCCACTCACCCACCACTCACCCACTACTCACCCCACCACTCACCCACCACTCACCCACTACTCACCCCACCACTCACCCCACCACTCACCCCACTACTCACCCCACTACTCACCCACCACTCACCCACTACTCACCCACTACTCACCCACCACTCACCCCACCACTCACCCCACTATTCACCCACCACTCACCCCACCACTCACCCCACCACTCACCCCACTACTCACCCCACCACTCACCCACTACTCACCCACCACTCACCCCACCACTCACCCACCACTCACCCACTACTCACCCATCACTCACCCACTACTCACCCCACTACTCACCCATCACTCACCCACTACTCACCCACTACTCACCCCACCACTCACCCACTACTCACCCACTACTCACCCCACCACTCACCCACTACTCACCCATCACTCACCCACCACTCACCCACTACTCACCCCACCACTCACCCACCACTCACCCACTACTCACCCACCACTCACCCACTACTCACCCCACCACTCACCCCACCACTCACCCCACTACTCACCCACTACTCACCCCACTACTCACCCACCACTCACCCACCACTCACCCCACCACTCACCCACCACTCACCCCACTACTCACCCACTACTCACCCCACCACTCACCCCACTACTCACCCCACTACTCACCCACCACTCACCCACCACTCACCCACTACTCACTCACCACTCACCCACCACTCACCCACCACTCACCCACCACTCACCCACTACTCACCCCACTACTCACCCACCACTCACCCACTACTCTCCCCACTACTCACCCCACTACTCACCCCACTACTCACCCACCACTCACCCACTACTCACCCACTACTCACCCATTACTCACCCCACTACTCACCCCACCACTCACCCCACTACTCACCCCACCACTCACCCCACCACTCACCCACTACTCACCCAACTACTCACCCCACTAACCCCACTACTCACCCACTACTCACCCCACTACTCACCCCACTACTCACCCCACCACTCACCCACCACTCACCCCACTACTCACCCCACTACTCACCCCACTACTCACCCACTACTCACCCACCACTCACCCCACTACTCACCCCACCACTCACCCACTACTCACCCCACTACTCACCCCACTACTCACCCCACCACTCACCCCACTACTCACCCACCACTCACCCACCACTCACCCCACTACTCACCCCACCACTCACCCACTACTCACCCCACTACTCACCCCACTACTCACCCCACCACTCACCCCACTACTCACCCACCACTCACCCACCACTCACCCCACCACTCACCCCACCACTCACCCCACTACTCACCCACCACTCACCCACCACTCACCCCACTACTCACCCCACCACTCACCCCACTACTCACCCACCACTCACCCACCACTCACCTCACTACTCACCCACCACTCACCCACCACTCACCCCACTACTCACCCCACCACTCACCCCACTACTCACCCCACCACTCACCCACCACTCACCCACTACTCACCCCACTACTCACCCCACTACTCACCCACTACTCACCCCACTACTCACCCCACTACTCACCCACCACTCACCCCACCACTCACCCCACTACTCACCCCACCACTCACCCACTACTCACCCCACTACTCACCCCACTACTCACCCCACTACTCACCCACCACTCACCCCAATACTCACCCACTACTCACCCACTACTCACCCCACTACTCACCCACCACTCACCCCACTACTCACCCCACCACTCACCCACTACTCACCCCACCACTCACCCACTACTCACCCACTACTCACCCCACCACTCACCCACCACTCACCCACCACTCACTCCACCACTCACCCACCACTCACCCACTACTCACCCATTACTCACCCACTACTCACCCCACTACTCACCCACTACTCACCCACCACTCACCCCACTACTCACCCCACCACTCACTCACCACTCACCCACCACTCATCCCACCACTCACCCCATCACTCACCCACTACTCACCCCACTACTCACCCCACCACTCACCCACTACTCACCCCACTACTCACCCCACCACTCACCCACCACTCACCCCACCACTCACCCCACTACTCACCCCACTACTCACCCCACCACTCACCCACTACTCACCCCACTACTCACCCACCACTCACCCACTACTCACCCCACCACTCACCCACTACTCACCCCACTACTCACCCACTACTCACCTACCACTCACTCACCACTCACCCACCACTCATCCCACCACTCACCCCATCACTCACCCACTACTCACCCCACTACTCACCCCACCACTCACCCACTACTCACCCCACTACTCACCCCACCACTCACCCACCACTCACCCCACCACTCACCCCACTACTCACCCCACTACTCACCCACTACTCACCCCACTACTCACCCCACTACTCACCCCACCACTCACCCACTACTCACCCACTACTCACCCACTACTCACCCACTACTCACCCACTACTCACCCATTACTCACCCACCACTCACCCACTACTCACCCATCACTCACCCCCTACTCACCCACTACTCACCCCACCACTCACCCACTACTCACCCCCTACTCACCCATCACTCACCCACTACTCACCCACTACTCACCCCACCACTCACCCACTACTCACCCATCACTCACCCATCACTCACCCACTACTCACCCCACCACTCACCCACCACTCACCCACTACTCACCCACCACTCACCCACTACTCACCCCACCACTCACCCCACCACTCACCCCACTACTCACCCACTACTCACCCCACTACTCACCCACCACTCACCCCACCACTCACCCACCACTCACCCCACTACTCACCCACTACTCACCCCACCACTCACCCCACTACTCACCCCACTACTCACCCACCACTCACCCACCACTCACCCACCACTCACCCACTACTCACCCCACTACTCACCCACCACTCACCCACTACTCTCCCCACTACTCACCCCACTACTCACCCCACTACTCACCCACCACTCACCCACTACTCACCCACTACTCACCCATTACTCACCCCACTACTCACCCCACCACTCACCCCACTACTCACCCCACTACTCACCCCACCACTCACCCACTACTCACCCCACTACTCACCCCACTAACCCCACTACTCACCCACTACTCACCCCACTACTCACCCCACTACTCACCCCACCACTCACCCACCACTCACCCCACTACTCACCCCACTACTCACCCCACTACTCACCCACTACTCACCCACCACTCACCCCACTACTCACCCCACCACTCACCCACTACTCACCCCACTACTCACCCCACTACTCACCCCACCACTCACCCCACTACTCACCCCACCACTCACCCCACAACTCACCCACCACTCACCCACCACTCACCCCACTACTCACCCCACCACTCACCCCACTACTCACCCACCACTCACCCACCACTCACCCCACTACTCACCCACCACTCACCCACCACTCACCCCACTACTCACCCCACCACTCACCCCACTACTCACCCCACCACTCACCCACCACTCACCCACTACTCACCCCACTACTCACCCCACTACTCACCCACTACTCACCCCACTACTCACCCCACTACTCACCCACCACTCACCCCACCACTCACCCCACTACTCACCCCACCACTCACCCACTACTCACCCCACTACTCACCCCACTACTCACCCCACTACTCACCCACCACTCACCCCAATACTCACCCACTACTCACCCACTACTCACCCCACTACTCACCCACCACTCACCCCACTACTCACCCCACCACTCACCCACTACTCACCCCACCACTCACCCACTACTCACCCACTACTCACCCCACCACTCACCCACCACTCACCCACCACTCACCCACCACTCACCCACTACTCACCCCACTACTCACCCACTACTCACCCACCACTCACCCCACCACTCACTCACCACTCACCCCACTACTCACCCCACTACTCACCCAC